CCACTGTGAGTACTGATTCACTCTCACCGCAGGGTGCTTATGTGGAAGGTTGAGATGTTGCATTTTTAACATGATAATGTTTATAGTGGACATTGAAGTTTCTCACGAAGGATCTTTTGAAGTGATGGTGGGGGAAAAAAATCCAGACTGGACTCTTGGCTTAAAGTTCTCAAAATACATTAGTTTAGATTTCACAACAGATTAATTCTTGGAGTAAATGTAGTCTAATATAACTGTGCAGAACACCGTAAGCACGCCACTCACTCAGCTTGGATTTAGGGCTGCCACGATGAGTCGACTAGTCATGATTACGACTAATTTAATAGTCGACGTCGTTTGAAGCTTTGTAAGATCAAAAGACGCAGGAATAAGTAGCAGGATTTAAGAGTGTAATAACGGACTGAAACAGAAGATGGCAGCACTGCATGTACAAGGATGCCAGCTGCCGTTAAACCCCGAAGAAGAAGAAGCTGTGTCCCAGAATTCATAGCGCAGCCCAGCTCAGTTTCCAACAATGGCGGCAGCTAGTTAGTTTTAATATTACTCTTATTATTCTTTCTGGGTCACAAAATAAACGTTTAACATATTTTCAGGCGAGAATGTAGCTGTGTAAACCTCAAATATCTGCTCAGTTTATCAAGACACCGCATATTTTCAAAAGCGCTCCGACGTTTTCGGAGACGTCTGTTACCCACTAGCTCGATAGCTAGCCGGGGGCTAGGCTCACTAGAGCCGTGAGAACACCGGACTCCCGGCAAATCGTTTTCAAACCCACCGCCGTCTTTCGCTACTCAGGTTAAACATATATAAGTCACTTAGATAACTTAAAATTTAGTATTTTATTTGTTCCTGAGTAAATCGGTTTGGCTGAGATTAAAGTTATAGTTTTTACACAGCTGAATAAACGTCAAGCAGACAGCTGATTATCAGAAGTGTGAGATGCTCGAGAATATACTCCGGTGTCCTGTTATATTTTAGATAGCAAGGAGTTTATTAAACTTCACCGAAACAATCTGCAAATTTCATTAAAATTTAATAAACTATCATCTTGTCTTTATTTTTAGTTAGCACATACCTTAAACACTTAAAGCTGTAAGCTAATGATAGTTATATAAGAGCAGATGCTGCTGGTGCAATAAGCTGTACGTTGTACATGGACGTACGATGATCTGATTAGTCGACTAATCGCAAAAATAATCGGTGACTAGTCGACTATCAAAATTGTTTGTGGCAGCCCTACTTGGATTGAATCTATGCCTAAAAAACAAAAGCGGAGTTTGATATTTTAGCTCAAATGGCCCTTTGTGTTACTATTGCTGATTTACTGGTTTCCAATTGGATAATAATGACCTCAAATGGCACAGCCTCAAACTTCATAACCACCATTTCATCCACAGCTAGTGTAAACAGGTGGATTGATTACATGAAGCAGAAGCAGCGTGGGTATATGTGGCGAGACAGGAAGGTTAATATAAAAAACAACAAAATTGATTCTCGATCTGTTTTTGTAATTGCAAAATTTAATTAGTCAACAGACAAGGTACTTTATTGGTATTCTTTCACCTTTAATTAGACTGTGTATCCCAGGAAATCATTAGAGCAGAAAGTCATTAGGCTTTTTTTTTTTTTTTTTTTTTTTTAAACTGTTTACTATGCATATTATCAATTATTGTGTAGCAATCCCCAAAACAGACCTTGTGCATAGGTCGTTTTGTTTTTTAAATGGTGTCTTCTTTCAACAGGGAGCTGTTTCCAGTTTGGGTGGGAAACCTGAATTTCCCAGTAACAGACTCCATGCTTGCAAACCTGTTTAACAAGTAAGAGCCTGTAGTGGAGTTCTAGGGTTTGTTATGTAATAAAAGTAAATAGCTCTGTAGTGTAGTGAGACACTTTTTATGGTAACTTTGTTTTGTTTTTTTACACACTCCTGTCCTGCAGGGTCGGGGTCGTCTATAGCGTCAAGGTTTTGACTGCCAAACGATGTGCCTTTGTTAACTATACAAAACAAGAACATTGTGATGAAGCAATTCGACGTTTTCATGTAAGTGCATCCTTTATTGTGGTACTGTGTCGTAATTCCGTAGTACTGTTTGTGAAGTTGCAGAGAGGCAGTCGCTGTTGTAATTTGCAGGATGGCTCTCTGGCAGAAATCCAGGAAGCGGGGCCGCTTTAGATTCTTTAATGTATCATTAAATTTTAACTCCCTGAGACACCGAAGCTACAAAAGCCCTTGAATTTATGAAAGGAGTTTTAATTTGTCATTTATCTATTCAACTAAATCTATTCAACTATGAATAATAAAAATTCAGACTGCAGGCAAAGAAGTGCATCAATCTCCAGGGTCAGAAATCTGCCCTGCTTCAAGCCCTGAATTTTGCATTTTAGGGGTTCATCTTTATGTGTGCCCCCTTTCCTAATCTCCTTAGGCCAGTTTTTTTTCTACACTTGTGTCTGTCTAGTTTTTGTTTGAGTCGTCTGAAACTGTCTGGATCATGCTGTGAATGCGTTGATGTGTAACTCTTATCACCCGGTCACGCGTCGCTCTGTGATTTTGGTGAATACTTTGTCACGTGCCCAGGTTACTCCTCCACCCACTAAACTAGTATTGTGTTCACTCGTCAGGGCTTTGAGCTGAATCACAACAAGCTCGCTGTCAGGTATCCGGACAGGATTCCTGCAGGCTTGGGTATTTCCAGATCTGCCCTGAGAGCTGATGACCTGCCAGATTAGAACGTGAGGTGAGTCCTTTCATACCAGACTTCACAGCTCTGACTGTGCTGCCTCCTGCTCGCTCTACCCGGGCGGCTCTCTCACCTGAACCAAACAGAGTACTTTAAGTAGTGAGAGAGTGTCAGTGTCAGTCTGATTACTGGAAGTGTCCTGCTGAAAGCTGCCAGGATGAGACTTAATGTGTGAAAATGGGCCAAGAGTTTAAAGGAATAGTTCAAAACTTTATTCCCTGGCATAAAGGAGCAAGCTATTTAATTATCCAACACATAAATAGCAGGATTATAATGCGATTATGTGTTTAAACTGCTAAATTTAAGTGACTCATACCTAAAATGTAGTTTTGTTTTTATTGCAGGCATAACGAGAACAGCCAAAGGACAGTACGTCCTTAGAAACCCATCCCCGACCACAGAGGGGACTACTGAATGAAGACCCAGCTGCTACTTGGCCTGAATGTTATTTTCAATAAATACTTCTCGTCCAGTACAGACTAATCAACAGTATCTACAGGTTCTCCTGATGTAATAGCTTTATGTAAAATTACCTAGTAAGTTATATCTGAAAATATTGTGTTATTGTAAGGTGATGAATCCAGATGTTAACAAAAGCTTCATGTTGCCAAAATTTTCAGTCTGACAATTACATGGAAGGGTTGGGTATGTATTTTAAATGTTAGTATTCAGAAAAAAACAGTATATAATTTACATATTTGTTTATTTAAAGTCTGCGGATTAGTCTAAGACTGCAGAGCAGGCTTACAGCTAAGCACACCAGTCTGTTTGAGTAAATTTGAGTGTTAATTAAAAAGTTGTTCCGTGGACAATTTTTGAGTGATGCAAGTAACATTGGTCATCAAATACAGTATTACATAATTTCTTTTAAACACGTCTCCCACCGATTCTGGGGGTTACCGCGGCTTTAACCCGAATAATCATCTTATGTCGAAATACTTAACTTGAACATATGTTTTAGGGCTTCATATATATTCAAGCCTGTGGTCAGCCGGCTTTTCCAAATTATCTGATAGTCATTGTGGTCATCCATAATTCTTATTATACATTTACTATAAGCTTAATACAGCTGTATAACACAAGCATTATGCGGTTTCAGTGCTCCTAGTTTATTTTTACCTGAAACGTGTCTTAAATGAAAAACCTCAAGGGTTGAAATGCCATTGCACATTTCTTTTTTTAAAATATATAAGTCCTCAAATTGTGAAGGTTGTTCTTAATCCAACAATTAAAGTTTCTTTATACTCTGGATTAGATACCTTGTGCCGGTGCTAGGTTACCTATTAGAACATTGAACTAACTTCATGGGGCATAGATGGACCTTTTTAAAGAAAGCTTGTAGTGGGGTGTCCTGTTACAGATGTGATTGAAAGTGTAGAAGTGGATCAGATCTGTGTGAATCAGGTCTTGATCTTGACATCACATTTACGGCTATTCCAGCTCCCCCCTACAGAAGGGCATTGTTTACACAAATCACACCATCTGCAATCCAAACAGGTGAAAATGAAACAGAAAAATATCTCGCTAAAAAGATTTCCTTACAGCGGGTGCACACAAGAAAAACGGTGGAACACCAAAATCAGAGCAAAATGTCATTTTTCAAACTCGTAAGTAGAGACAACTAAAGAGTCAAAGCAGTCTTCTTCCAGTTATCCCGTACAGGGTTGTAGTTGTGCTGAGGACTGTTGCTGCTGTCATTAGGTGAGAGGTAGGCTACACCTGCATACTTTTGAACTTTGGGAGGAAGTCTTAAGTGTCATGAGAGACCAACCCAGACACGGGGAGAGCATGCAAACTCATCAGCCAGTGGATTCAAACCCAAGACGTTGCTGTGAGGCAACAGTGCTAACCACCATGGTGATGGGGCACCCACTCACCCTGTTGGCTCATGCCTTAAACTTTTGTTTTGCTGTGAAGTCACCTGACGCTTTGACCAACATGATCAGTTCATCCCTAAACACGAGTGAGTCAAAGTGCCAAAATTGGATGGAGCCCATTCCAGGAGATGCAGAAATCTTGGTAAATCAGAATACTGAAATCCACGTTTCTGCCCAGGGTGTATCCCACTTGTGGTAGCTGGGATAGGCCCCAGCCTGCCCATGACCCTGATGAGGATAAGTAAAAGAAAATGGATGAAAACAATTACATCTGGATTGAAGACTAATTTGTATTTTTCTTGGAAACTGCGCTGGTGTGTGGTCGTTGGTAAATGGTCATAACTTGGAAAATGTCGGCACATTGGTCGATTAACGCCGTTGCTGGCCTTCATGGGCTGAGTAAGAATAGGCTTTGATTGACTCTGAGCAGCAGATGTATTCTGGACTGCGCCTAAAGGTTTGTTCATAAGTGTTTTTTTCAGCGCATCCTTGGACTGAGCAGGACGCACAGCAGCAGCAGGTGCAGCGATTGTGTTTGCTGAAAGGATTGGAGACACTCCAGTGACATTTGCTACTTGAACAGGTGGGAGAGAGCCGTTCGGAAGAGCTCCTGCACACAAAGATCCGCAATTAAACTGGATAAAAATACACAGTTAAACACATTTCGTCAGTTTAAGCCTAATATACAAGTGATACTCTCTGTGGATAATACACAGGTGGGCTACAAGAACAAAAGACTTCTTTCCACAACTGCGTGGAGTGAGAAACTCACCTGGTCGATTGTTTAACTTAGACAGCACTTCTAGTGCTTTTTTAACCGTCCCATGAATTATTAAAGCATTTGAGCTCTGCTCTCGAGTAAAACCGAACTCCTGAAGCAAAACAGAAACACACAGTAAGAAGCACATTCAAAAAAAAAGGCTCAGTCTTCATTTTCCCAACTTTCCCTCACAGCTGAAACCTCGAGCTGCAGGCCATTTTTCTCATCTCAACTATGAACATGTTAGCACTGTTTCTGGTTGGATTCAAGTACACAATGTAGTTACATGCATGTAGTGTGACTGCACCACTAAGCGCAGCTGCTACATACCATTAGCTGTGTTATCTGCACACGCATCAGCTCCTGCGCAGCTTCTGCACACGAACTGTCCAGTTTGAGAACTTCCGTGAAGGCCAGGGCAGCTTCCTCATACCTCTGAAACATTACGGACAGCAAGAACTTCAATTCAAAGTAAACCTGGGTTCAGATCAATTTGTTGCTTCACTAATTGGCCTAATTGCTGTCAGAACACTGAGTCAGAAAAAGTCTAATGCTTCTTTCTCAATAGTATCTACTCGACTGTTTCAGTTGCTCTCTGTTACAGTTGAGGATCACCTCAATGTGTGTGGGGTTGTTATAGCAACACGGCTGATGTCATCTGTATGTGAGGCGATAGTATACGGCTTTTTAAATGGACTTTGTGGAGCCATTTCCCTCATTGACAGGTTTCAGAACTGGCGCTCTCATGACTCATCAAGTGACGTGACTGACTGGCCCATCAGTGGCACGCGGTCTCTTCAGGTCACATTCTCAGATTGACTCAGCTCACTTGGCCACCTGGGGACACCCCGACTGAGTAGGAAAAAAAAGTTCCTGGTTCCAGGTATTACTACGTAATGGAAAACCCTGAAAACTGAGTTGAACTGAGCCGAGTTGGTCTTAGGGGAAAATAATGTGAACCTGTGCAACAACTGCAGTGATGCTGCAAACAAGGCGACATTGTCAAAGTCGCTGTAACCTGAACTGTAAACATTACAACCGCTGACGGGTCACAGCCAGTATGTGCCGCTACACAGCCGACTGCAGCTGCATCAACAAGTTAAGACTAAGCTAACTTCCCTGTGACCAGCACTCAAATGTATGTCCCTTTATAATGTTTCTCATTGGTTGGAAAAATGTGTTGCTACTTTGGTTAAAGAGTGCTTTGTAACAAAGGACACTGTTGCACAAGAGTCTGCTCTTAAAATCAGAAACACACACATATTAAACATGACATGTGAGGGTTGTTAGGATTAGATAAAAGCTTTATTTTTACCTTTAGACCAGCCAGAGCTCTTCCCTTCCTATACAGGCCTTTATCCCAACCTGGACATATGCCAAGCGACAACTCTGCATCCATTAACGCCTTCTCGTATTCTTGCAACTTCTCAAAACAGAAGGACCGATTTCCAAATAGCCTGCGACAGATGCAAAGATGGCATTAAAGCTAGTGGTGCAAGTGAAATCACTGCTGTTACTTAAAGTTAGGTAAACAGGCATGTTCTTACTTAAACTCTTTAGGGTTGTGCTTAATTGCATCTGTGAAATACTTCACAGCCATATTAAAGTCTCCAGCACTCGCATGCTTATTTCCAATGACTAGGGGAAAAAAAAGAAAGATAAATATTTATTTTACGTATTCTTTAAAAGTCAAATCACCTCACTGAGAATTTATGTGAATGAATAATGACGAAACTTACCGGCAAGCTCTGTGCTTATTTTTACATGGTCTTCAAAGGAGGGAACCCTGGACGCAGCAGAGTCCTGCGTAGACAGCAAGAACAGAGTTTCAACCTTTAACGTGCACCAAAAGACACAATACAGCAGGTTTTACAGCTTTGTGGTCATTCTCCAGCGTTTCCTTCATCACTGCTGTTTTATCTAAGATGTTTAACTAAAAGATGTGCACACATTTCATTTCTCTGCGGTGAGTTTCACACACCCACACACTTTCGTTTTGACATCTTAGTGAGGACATCTAATTGACATAATGCTTACCTAACCCTTAGCCTAAACCTAACCATAACCTAAATGTAGCCCTGACACTAAAACCACATTTTGAGTCTCAAAACTTCCTTCAAACCCGTGAGGAGAGGCACTTCTGTCCCTGCACAATTTGGATGACTGTTGGTTCACTTGGCACCACCCGTGCTCACAGTTTAGTGAGTCATGTCGAATATAAAGATTCCAAATTTTCTCAGTTGTATTTGTAACTGGCAACCAGCCACAGGGTCTAAAAGATTCCCTGCTGCCTCGTAAGGAACGGGGTATTCAAACACACACTTACAGAAAGATCCTAATGAAGAAGGAGGAAAGGTCGAGTCGTTAGTATCTTCAACATCAAGCTCCATCTGTACCCTTAAACTCAGCAGCCCACGCTACGCTTAGATCACCGGATGGAAACACACATGCATGCAATCTACGATCTGTATGCGAGCATTCTTCCTTGTTTGCACCTATCTTTTATATATCGTTCTCAGTTTATTACATTTAAAATGTGGTGAGGCACAGAACAATTACGCTTACGACCACCTTTCTATCTTCAGCCAGTGCTTCTTGATTTCCTATCATCCAGTTTGGGTATGTTTTCCTCTGTTTATTTCGCTAATAAACTTTAATCTCCATCTTCATCTGTCTTCCCTAGATAGTCAGCCCTCTAAGCACCAGGACCTAATTTCTATCATATCTCACAGTTGCTTCTGCTCCAGTTTATGCATGGCTATAAGAGCAGCTTTTCTCACAAAACTACTCGTCATATCAAGTTCCTTAAAAAGAGACGAGAAAAAAAAATGTAATTGATGAACAGAAAGTGATATAATTTACAGCCAAATCTTATGTGATCATCTTTTCCTGTATTCAGTAAATTGGATTAAAAGAACAGTATCAGGTTAATGGCATTTTACACCATCAGGCATCAATCAGTGGTTCATTTTGAGAATGATATCCACTCTTAAAAGTGAAATGGTAAATGGTAATCTTAATAAGGCCTGTATTTATATAGCGCTTTACTAGTCCCTAAGGACCCCAAAGCGCTTTACATATCCAGTCATCCACCCATTCACACACACATTCACACACTGGTGAGTGAGAAGTGCTACTCTGAGTCGCCTGAGTCGTTCTTGGAGTTGCAGTCTTCATCACTGGAAACGTCGCTACTGTCACTGCTGTCTGTATCTTTGGCTGAGGCCTGCGGTTTAACACTAGTATTGTTATTGGCTCTGTGTTCATCATTAACAGCTTCACCCTCCTCTGCATCATCTTTTCCCTGTAAAACACAGAAGACAAGTTTGTGAAATAAGAGGACCGTTTCTTTTTTCGAAACGTGTTGCATAAAACAATCATCACCTCCTCGTTTTTTTCAGGGTTCAGCTTGTCCTTCTCCAGCTTCTCGAGACGTTTCCTTTCCTTCTGTTTCTGATCAACAAACACCCGCAGTGAACATTACTCACACGAGCTGACATTTATTACCAATCACTTCATATTCAAGAAAGCAGGATTTACCCGTTTCTTAAGCCGCTTCTTCTCAGCTTTGTCTTTCATTTTTTTAGATTCTTCTAATAATCTGGCTTTTCTCTCAGCATCCTAAAGAAGCAGATTTGAATCATTTAGAGTCTGCAGCACAACTTCACATCAAAAAGAAAACGGTAAAACTAAACACTTACGTGCTCCTTTGTCTGAAATCTTAAAGGGGACGGGCAAGAAGAATTACGGGCTGAAGGGTATACGGGCTGATATACAGCGCTGGATGACCTCAGGCGGTTTGCAGGGTATCCATGGAAATCATGACTCCAACTACCGGTAACATAATCATCATTGCCTGGGTCGTCTAGATCGTCATCGTAGTCAATACCTGTGGGAACAACAACAAGTTTCATACAGTCACACAAATAAAGACCGACACACTCAAATGTGCACAGCAGACATGTTGCACAATATCTCCTTACCAAGAAGGCCACATCTTATTATTCTTTGCATATGAGGACGTCCTTCAAACATCCCTAAAACAGTTCTCTAAACAGGAGGGAGAGAGACAAAGAGATTTGAAAAGTATTCACAAACAGTCACGTACAGTCCTCGCTCGCAGCCTCTCCAGCCTTGAATTCTTACCCACATTCCACCTACATCTGGATCCCAGTATGATAAGTGTGGAGTATTCCCACAGCTGCTGAAAAACTGCACCACTGCCACTACTCAGCATGCCTCTGAGCTCCAGTAAGAATGCTGGCACTGAAAAGCACCATGTCCAAGAGTTTCACTTTCCTTTATCCAGAAGCTCTGAGTCACTGGATCAGCAGGCAAGCCCCTTTCTCTGGTCTTGCACTATAATAAATACACGTGAATGCAACAACAAAGCAGCCTGCATCTAATTTGGGGATGTGGAGCATATTCTCATACTGAATACTATCGTTTATTTTAGTCAGACTTATAGAAGAATCACTATAAGAGCTGTAATGTTGAGCACAAATGCAAATAGAAGGTTGGTGTGATTAAACAAAGCTATAAAGTCTTTTCTCTCCACTTTAACAGCACCAATAAATTACAGTGGAGCAAAGTTTGTTTGGCACAAAAATAAATGTCAAGCGTTACATAATCAGCTGTGCAGTTATCTGATCCACTGGAGTTGTTTGTGGAGCAGCTTTTCGTGTTTGATGTGCTAATCTGTACATCTTGAGTTCCGTGGCAGAAAAAGGAAATCCACAGGCAGGTTATACACGTGGGAGGAAAAGGGGCAACAACATGCCACTTAATGAAGAAATGTCACTAACCCAACAGATACGAAGACGGCACTTTTCCTTAGAATAATCCACGGACTGGCTTAGGATTTGTTATGGAGTCAATATATTATATTCGGAGCAGAAATGTCCAATTAAGACCACTTTGCACGTACAATACGAGATTATTACCTCAAATGCCCGCCTCACTGCCACGCAAAAAAGCAAAGCGTGGTTTGTAATTCCTTGTAGACGGATTACTAATATCACTGTTTTCTAAACCATTTCACAGACATCCTGCTCACTGGTAAAACTGTGTTTAGATTTCCGTAAGAAGCAGCTGTGCACGTACAGCGTTTCTCTGAATACAGGATATGTACAGGAAGTGACACGGCGCAGTGTTTACATGTTTCCATTCAGCAAATTCGACTGTGCTGCTTTTACGGCCAACCTGCGAGGAACCCATTGATGATCTTAACACCTTACCCATCCGGTCCCCAGACCCATAAACTCCCCCCACGAAGTAAGAGCCAACACGCGGGGAGCTTTTCCACAAAGCGTAAGCTAACGCGCGCGTAAACTTTAAGGAAGAGAGCATACTTACGAACATATGAGGATCCGGAATCTCTGCAAAAGCAAACAAAAGAACAAAGAGCAATATAAATACAGTTGTTTCAATAACCAGGCTTTGGCTCCTCTCTACACAAACATGACTCCTACAAGCGAGCTAGCTTCGTAGCCACGTTAGCCAACAACTTTTTAAAAGACACAAAAAGCGCTTTCTTACCCTCCTCTTCTCTATAAATCTCCATGTTTACTAATATAAGTCCTGTCACGGCTTTACACACTCTCACGACGCAGTTAATTTCACCCTAAGTTTCATTACTAATGCTAATGTTAGCAGCCTCTAACTTTTGCTGCCAACATACTGGCGCGCTCCCTCTCGATCACTTTAAAACATCGCGTGAACGCACACGAGCGCACGGGCGGGACTTGGCTTTTATTGAACGCATGCGCGCCGTCTTCCTGCCCCCTTCCCGGACACATGGATGACCATTTGTTGTTTATTTGTAAATGTAAATGTAGTGGGTCTGTTTCAGTCCTTGAACCTGCAGATGTGTCTGCTAGCTCTGCAAAGCCTACTTTGGTATGGGATTTGGTAGGAATGAACAGCATTAGACTGTGTTGTAAATGTTATGTCATTATAACAATATAGCCAAGTACGCACCGTAGACACAGGATTGGCAAAAGCATTGGTTCGTCTGCCTTCACACGCATATGAACTTCAGCGGCCATCTTTAGGTTTAATATGATGTTGATCCACAGCTTTTACAGCTTCCAGATCTCATGGAGAGACTTTCCCTAAGGTTCAGGATTGTGTTTATAGGATTTATTTTTTTTAAACCATTCTTCCAAAAGTGCAAAGTAGGGTTTACATGAGAAGGTCTCCTGTTTTTTCATGCTAACAGTGTTCTCTGGTTGAGGTCAGGACTTTGTGCAGGCCAGTCAAGTTTTTCCACACCAAACTCACTCACTGTCTTTATGGACCTTACTTTGTGCACTGGTGTTCAGTCATGCTGGAACAGAAGGGTCCATCCTCAAACTGTTTCCACAAAGTTGGGGACGTCCAAGATGTCAGTATGCTGAAGCTTTAAGAGTTCCTTTCACTTTGAATGAAAAACAAACTCACGCCATAATCCCCCCACCACAAAACTTTATTAGTCAGAAAGTATCGTTCTCCTGGCAACCAAATGCAGAGTCATCCATCCGATTGCCCGAAGAGGTCTGCAGTGTTATTTTTTCTTTAAAGAGAGGGAACACTTCCTGCCTCTTCTCATGTTTTTTTTTTTGTTATGTTTTTCTTTAACAATTTAAAGTGCACAGCTGCTTAAGCCTTCTCTGAGGAGCAACAATGTTAGGCTACACATAATGCATTGTCTGATATAAAGAAGCCCACCTCATCATAAGATATACACACTAAATACTGCCAGCACAGGGTTAGATAAAATCTTAAACAGTTTATTTATTAATCAGTTTATTGTTACCATACACACCCGCACCCACCCAGACATTTGTGAATATTTTCCAATAGACAAAAACCCGCAGTTTTAAACAACTACAGGTTAAGCCATTAACAGAAGGAAAAATAATATCAGTATTTTTTCCATTAAGAAAAAGAGTTTAGCAGGAAATATTAAAAATTGTCAAATGTAATGTTCTATGATGTAATGCATGTGTAATTATGTTCATCACTCAAAGACACACTTCTGTCATGTTTTCTTTCCCAACAAGTGAGCTGCGCGTTCACTGCAGTTTTAGCTTTTTTATAAATCATGAAGCAGCGGTCTTCGATCATGTTATGAAAAAACTGTCTTTGCAAGAGTTAAAAAGTCAAAACCCTGAGTTACAAACTTTTAAAAGTTTATCCGTCCCCACTTTTCAAAGTGGCAGCGACAGAATGTCATGATGGCCAGGACTTATGTGCTGAAAGCAAGTATAACAAACGGCGATCGGTTTCCATCAGTGCTACTCTACAATCCTTCCATGGCGAACAGAAAAGGCAATGAGTCTGCGGTAGGCCGAGATGAGGAGGATGATGGCTCCTGCCACCATGCCGCAGATGAGGCTGAAGGTCCAGCGAGGTCCCAGGTGGGTGTAGACATGGGAGACGAAGACGGGGCCGAGTGTCCGTGCCCCGCTGCCCGACGCCGTCAGCCAGCCCATGTACACACCCTGGTGAAACATTTGAGAAGTGTATGGGCGCGTTCAAAATTATTTTAAAGCATCACACATGTTAGTATTTACCTGAGGTTTGGGTCCAAGGATTTTGGAATACAGTGTGTAGGACATCACATTGCAGGCTGGGTATCCCACTCCAATGAGGAAGTCCGCTGAGAAGAACTGAGCTATGTGTATAGCAGGAGTATACTGGCACCAGGTTTGTTCGATGGGACACCCAGTTGGCTCCACAGTACTGTTCGGGGCTGGCACGAGGTCAGGCATCTGAGTCACAAAGGAGTTGTTTTTTATGTCTGTTTGTGAAAGAGGAGGGTAGAAATTAGTTTAAATCTAAACAGATGCTTGGAAAGATGTAACAACTACACACTGAGCTGTCAAGAGTCAAAATGGCAACAACTGGAAACTAATCTGACTACTTAATTCAACCGATCAATACCTGCCCACTGGATTTTAGGATAATGGTTTCCCCATGGGAGAAGAATAAAGAAGCCACAGAAAATAATGACCAAGCCGATTAACAACACAGGCCGATCTCCGAATCTGGAAGGAAATTAACGAAATTCAGGAAAGGCGATTCTTTATTTGATGTAATTTATATGTGCAGTGAGGGGTGATACCTAAGAGCAGCCACTTTTACAGCCAGAAACACCAAGATTGATACAAATCCGATGCAGCAGAGAATGATCCCGTTGTACAGCACAGCTTCTTCCCTTGTCCAGGCAAACATGTCCATAGATAGGGGCGTGGTAATTCTGAAGAAAAACACAGAATCACAACAGAGTACAAAAGAGGTTTTAAAGAGAGAGAAAGACTGCCTAGACTGGATATAAAAGACAGGCATAGCTCTGGCTGAGAACTGTCACCATACTTGCGTTTTGAAACCAGGAAGCTTGTCAATCGCAGAGATAATGTATAGAATGAACTTCATCTCCTTTATATTTTTCTGTTTTATCCTCAGTTACTTTGACACAAAGTTATCTGCTGTGATGCTTACACCTCTGATGAAGTCTCACATGTACTTGTAAATGATCATTATCACAATATTTCTGACTGAGTCAAAATGAAATCAAATCGGGACCTCATGAATCAAAATTGAATAACTAATAGAAATCAGTGGCGATACCCAGCCCTACTTGGAACCAGCTTTTATGTACCATCCGTGAGTCTGACGTCTTTGAAGAAATACATACGTCTCAAAGATAGCAAAGATGAACATGATGATGAAGAACAGGATGTTGGATGTCATGACAGCCACCTGATCGATGCTTTCAACAGTTTCTTCTGATATATCAACTCTCTCTAGAAAACATAAATATATCTTCCATCAGAAACTGTAAAACATGACTCATTTATTTCCATATTCAAAATGTATGATTCCTTTAACATTAGCCATTCAGACTCGGTGCAGTACTGCTTTATGTCACTCTGTATGTTAAATGACTTAAAAATAAATAAATGTTTTAGTACAAATAGTTTTCATTTTTTCTGTAAATTGACTTCAGCAAGTGGTCTTTCCTTGGCATACAGTAAATGCTAAAGAAAAATAGATACACCTTCTGATGTGTAGTTGATAGATTGAATGTGCCTTCCATCTTCATCAACGTGATGCTCTCTGATGGAAAGAATCAAACATTTTAGTTAAAGGGTATATCCACAGTATTTTTCAGTCCATGTAAAATAACGAAATAAACAGTCAAATACTGAAATTTTCCAGAACTATCCTACTGTAAATTTGTAAATTTTTGTAGTAAATTGTAAATTGTAAATATTGTAAAACTTTTCTTCTGTCATTTAATGGTCGGGCATTGTACAGCTACAAGCATTTCACCCCCATGTCATACTGTGTATGGTTGTGTGTGTGTGACAAATAAAATTTGAATTTGAATTTGAATTTACTGAAGACCGATCCTTTTTTTTTTTTTTCAAAAAAAAAAAAAAATGGTTAAGGAAAAACAACTTCACACGTTAAAGACAAGTCAAAAATATTTCAGGATGCAGGAGTATCATTGTCAAGGTCTACAATCACCTATATGGAGGATTTAAAAGGTGCAAGCAACCACTTGAAGGCCAGACTAGACTTTGCCAGCAAACATCTAAAAGAGCACAGCTCTGTAAAAAAATGTTTGTTCAGATAAACCCAAGATTAACTTTTATTAACTTGTATCAAAATGATGGGAAGAGAAAGGTATGGAGCAGGAGAGAAACAGCTCATGATCTGAAGCATACCACATCATCTGTCTAACATGGAGGGGCTAATATTATGGCATAGACACGTATGACTGTCAGTGGTGTTTTGTGACTGCTGATGGAAGCAACAGGGCTGCACTCTGTTTTTTAGGTTATGAAGAGAAACTTGGATCATTTTTTCCAGTATGTTCAATAAAAATCAAAAGCACAAATAGTGCTTTAAGACAGAATTTGAAAGAATTGTGAACCTTCACATTTATACGGCATTTAAAAACATTAATTATACATAAACTGACAGATCAATAATACTAAACTCTCAAACAGTCATTTAAATCTTTGACCCTGGTGACCACTAAAGTTCATTTAGGTAGTGCCTCAAAAAACAAAGAAAGAAAAAAAAAGAAAAAGGCCCAGTTGAGGGATGAAGACAGATTTACTACAGTACAGAGATCAAGTTTATGGCAAAACTATAAACAAACAAGAAGTCACATCAAGAATTTGTTCAGTCACCTCAGCAGAATGACGACGAGCAGGATGTTGATGAGGCCGAACACTGCAGCCAGTAACGCTGGGGTGGTGTACATGTTGAGCTTCAGCGCTATGAAGTCCAGTGTGACACCTTCCTCACCAATGAAGGACAGACATGCCTGCAGGGCTGGCATGTACACAGAAAAATAAACAAACCTTAAAACTGATTTTTTCTTCAGCAAACTCACAGCTTTGCTCCCTGTTGTCAAACTTACCTGGCCCGAGGATGAAACCGAGGGCCTGGCAGGCACTCATGTTAGCCATGGCACCCGTCCTCTCGTTCAGTGATGTAGCTCCAGCAACATAGGACCTCACCACAGCTACGTTACCTGACATGGAAAGACTGAAACGTGTCATGGATCATCATAAAGGAAACAGATCAATTTGCTTACTAAGGAAATTATATCAAACTTTTAGGTCTATATTTAAATGATCACCTGCTCCGAAGCCCACAAAGACTCTGGACATGAGGATGTGATACTTGTTATAGGTCTTCGGCAGGTATGCGTAGGCATAGTAGATGTTGGCTGCCA